GTTTCTAGGAAACGTTCTTAAGCAAGAGAAGATTGAGTTTTCTAGAAGAAATGTCCTAAAAAATCAAGAATTAGGTTCCTTGGGGGAAAATCTTTAGAAAGACCGAATTGTGATGTTAAGAAATACTAGATTGAGCTTTCTAGGATACAAGTCCTAATAAAATCAAGAATTAGGTTCCTTGGGGAACAATCTTTAAAAAGAACAAATTGAGATTTCTATAGAAACAATATTAAGAAAGACTAGATTGAATTTTCTATGATACAAGTCTTAAGAAAATCAATAATGAGGTTATTTGAGGAATAATCTTTAAAAATACCAAATTGATGTTTCTAAAGAAATGATATTAAGAAAGACTAGATTGAACTTTCTAATATATAAGTCTTAAAAGAGTCAAGATTGAGGTTTCTAGGGAAACAACCTTAAGAATGACAGAATTGGTTTCGCATAAGAGATTTTAAAGACTAGACATCCTCACGAGAGGGGAAACAAAGTTTTTCTTCTTCTTGCCTTCAATGCAATAATGAATGTTTGATGCGATAATGCAAATTCATGTAAAATATAAGTTAGAAATGCTTAATGTATGTTTTCTTGATTGATGTCCACAAATGGATGCTCAAGAAGTCATTGTTCTTGTCGTGATTGAATCTTCATCGTCTTTTTTTTTTACACTAGAGTGTATCTTCTTAATTATCGGCTCACAATAACCTGCTATTCTTGCCCCCAACAAATTTTGTCCCCAAGGTTTGCTTTTCTTTGCCCTTGTTTATGATTCTGAACTTTTAAGTCAAAGAGACGTTTTTCAATTTGAAAGACATTTTTTCAAGAGAAACTTTCTTGTTTGAAAATGTTTTTATTTCTCTTTGATTTTTTTAAAATGTGAAAATTTCCAAGAAAAAAATCTAAAAACACAAAAGGTTTCCCTCACTTCGGGTTCACAATTGGAACAAATCATAAAACAAAAAGTTCATTGAATATCAAATAAATCAATTACTTTTCAAATTTTTGAAATTTATAGCCCTTTGACAAGTGTTAGGATTGATGTGCTGGTTTTAGGTCGACTTTCTAAATTTTCTAAGGTTTCAACCGTTTATATGTCTTTTCTTTATCGATCCTTGCGAATATTGTGACATACTCCTCTATCTCGGCATGATATTTCAATCGGATGCAGAAAAAATGGCGCAACTAGCATATGCAATTGCTAGACCTTTTAGAGAGTGTTTACATTTCATTCATCTGAAATGTTACATTTATTCAAGCTTGTAGACTCCTTTAGCAAAGGTAGTGCATAAATATTGATCTAAAAATTGAATTCCTGATTGCTTGTGTGAAGTCGACTATAATATGTGTTTCTTAACTCCCTTAGTTTATTTTCCATCAAAACTCATTATTAATTCAAACATCAGACTTTGTTGTTTCCTTGAATTTTTATTAAATTTAGTTTCATTTGTCTTTATTCTGGCGTAGCTGAGGGATTAGTATCGTCACAAAGTCTTCAACTTGGAAACCATAGTGGACAACAACTAATTGTCAGGTATCCGATCAATGTCGCGGTTTGAATGTAACCTATTCATAAAGTCAAGGCTCTTGAGTTACCTTTATAACCAAATGCTTTAGCGGAATAGCTCTACTTTTATTACACTTACCTTATGATGATGATTCATTAGCCATTTGAGTATTTAGATTTAAAAAATTCTTAAACTCATCAAGAAGAACATATTATAGTCTAGGTGTCATTGAAGGTCAGGAAATTCCATCTTTAAAGTTCAATTCCCAAGCAATTAACTTAAACTAAATTCATCTACTCCATTCTATTTGTGAAGATTATGATCATCATTGAACGTCCTTAACAGAAATGCAATCTAATTAGTTTTGCAATGCTATACACATAAGATTCCTCATTTTGTCCACTCCTATACATAAATGAATACCTTGCCTTTGGCCACTTCGTTGTGGAAGGAGAAAGTTATCTTCAACCTTGCAGGAAAAATGGTGTGATATTCGGGTGTAACTTCTGGAGTAGGATCAAGGTTCCTCGTTTTAAGAGGGTTCAACTTTATCGTTTGTCAAAAAACTATAACATTGATTCTCAAAAAAGCATTTCATTATATTTAATATTTGAATAACTTCAAAATTAAAACTCATTTTATTACTCATGACCTTGAAAGATAGCATTTTACTTAATGAGGTCCAACATTAAACTATTTACAAATATTTGAGAAAATAAGAAAAAAGAATAAAAACGAGTTCAAACAAAACATAATATTTTTCCATGCAAGTGCAACAAATCTCTATGATGGATGAACAACAATCTCTTTCAAATATGCCCATCAATCGTCGAATATCCATATGTTTGATTCAATTGGACCTGAGACCTTACCCTTTAATGCCTCATTTGCTCCTCATTTCTTGATTCAATTTTTCAGTGGGATGCCCTGATGCCTCCATGTGGAAATCAAAAGTACCATGTGGAAATCAAAAGTACCATTTGGGTCGTAGCCATAAAGATGAGCTAATAATTACTTCCAAAGGCCTAGCAGTGATGTAGTGACCCTTAATTAAATGGGGCAATAAGTCTGAAATAGGTACTAGGAAAACTTTAAGTGTCACGTTTTTCCAAGACATCTCTTGCGACCAATCTCGAGTTACTTTTACTTTAATCTTCTTGTGATGATCTTCTCTCGTTTTCTTTTTTTTCTTCTTCCATCATTGGAGTTACTTTAAGAGTTAGATCTGTTAATTTTTCTTCATTAATCCTACTTCAGACTTCATCCACTTCATTCTTTTCCATTTCCATGTCTTTATTTGTTTACTCGTCATTCGACTTGATTGTGCCAACTCCTACTTGGTGATTGATTTCCAACTGTTTGGCTAAAATAAATTGATTGTTGGCATTAAATTTTATAACTCCATGATCTAGAAGGTTATAAACTTGTCGCTTAAAGTTACCACACCTCTCGATAGAGTGTCCTTGAGCTTCAGTGTGATACTTACAATAAACTTTCTCATTGTGTCATCTTCAATATGGGGACAATAGAGACTTAGCAAGATGTGGAGTAATCAATCGAGCTTCAAGCAACTTGGATTATAACTCACTGCATGGAAAAAAAGATCAAATAAAGGCTTTTTGGATTTCATTTTCTCCTTTTCATTGTCATGATCAACCTGAGAACATAGTGGAGGGCTATTGAGATGAAGGAGATTTTAGAGATTGATTTTGAAGGTTCAAATCTTGACTAGCAACTTGAGGCAGATTAAAACATCAACTTGCAGATACAGATGTTTAGCCTCGATTCTCTTTCTTCTTTGTAAACTTAAGTTCATCGATAAATTTTGAGCCTTCAGGAAGTTTAGGCTTTTCATCTTCAAAGCATAGTAACCCTTATGTGATGAGGTTTAAAACCATTAATCTCACAATCCCACAATTTTATGTAGAGTGGCTAAATTCACCACAATGGTATTCGCATGAATTTTTTATACTCTGCCAATCTAAACACAAGTAACTATTGTGTCTTGGAGGGATTGGCGTTAGAATGCCACTCTTGAAGAGAAAAAGTAGCAAATTTGAATATGACCCTGAGATTGGAACAAGTGGTACCTTCTTATTTTTCTTCTTGTTCTTTTTATCTCTCTTTATTGGCATTTGAATTTCTTCTATGCCTCTATTCTTTGAGTGAGACTCATCTTTCACGAGATAAACTTTATATTCTATTATTGCTTTACCCAACATAGCTTCTAGGATGCTTTTTGGGACCATACTTGAATTTTAAAGTTGACTTGAGTTGCTATGCTCCTTAAAAAGTTTTCGATCATCTGCAGATATCACTTAGGTCTCGCAAATGATATTCATATTCTAATTCAAAGTATTTGCCTCTTCTTGCACAATAGGATCCACTAATGGGTTTTCCCTATAGATCACAATAGTCATCATCTTCATCAATTTAGACATATGCTCTCTTGATTCCTCTTGAAATTTATTTGCCTGATCATTCATCTCTTGTTGAGTTCCGACGGTTGGTGATGAGCGATGCATGAACCACTAGAGCAATTAGGGTTCCTTCACCTTTGGACATGCAGGCTTCTCCATGTTTTGGGCCTCCACCGTTTGATTATTTGCATTGGGGTTCTTGGATTAATTTGTAAAGTGTGGCCTTTATATTAGGCCTATAAACAATAAGTAGAAGTTATCGTCTTATATATATATATATATATATATATATATATATTAATATTAATCACTTATATTATATAATATATATTCATACGCATTTTATATAATATAAATATACATGCATATAATATACGTACACACGTATGAAATATAAATATATATATTTAGAAATATTAATTAACCCACTAACCCCCTATGTTTAAATAAAATCAAAGAAAAATAATTAAATATTAAAAAAAACCCAAGTAAATATTCTGGACAAAAATAGTATCTACGATAGATTTTCATAAATTTTACCTTCCAACAGCTTAGATTAAGCTTGGATGAGCTTCTTGAAGCTTTACGGATGTAAATAATTTGTCTCGGTCAAACGGTCTGAATAAGGTTGCAAAAAATGATGCAAGGGACGTAGTCGTGCATTCATCAAATACCAATTAAGTTTGAGTTATAAAAAATTCGATTTCCCTAGAGTTGGAGCTTAAGTTAAAAGATCATATTTATAATTTAATTCGAGTTATAAAAAGTTGACATCCCCGGAGTAAGAGCTTGAGATAGAATCATGTAGACGACGAAAACAATACTTAAATTTTACTCATGTTTATGATAGTTTAAATATAGTTGGAGTCCATACAATTGCCGAACAAAAGAAGTTCTAGTAAAAAAGAATGTGTTTAAGATTGTTAAATATTTCCATCCTATTATATTTCAATTATTCTTTTTATATTTCCAAAATTGTCGGGTATTTAAGCCATCTATTAGTTAGACATTGAAGATGAACAAATCTTTACCAGACAAATATTCACCATCAGCAATTTGGTCGTCGTCCCCGACATAGAAACCTACACTCGCTAATATTGAGGTTTTTAAGCTAAAAGCTAACAAACGACATGTATCCCTACAGCTAACACAAAATTACCCGGAGAGCAATGTTATGAATATTGTCAAACTGCTGCTAACAAGTATCAAACCCCAACCTTGGCTCGTCCGGTAAACCTTATCGGACCGATTGGTGGCTCCCAAAAGCATCGTGACTCGGTTTGAAACTAACTTGAGGACGGCAACGCAAACAAAGGAAATACTTACGACTAATACAGCAAGTTCTTTAGTTTTCAAACTTGCTTGATCATAGACGACCTTCTCCACATCTAATCTGTTGAGCAAAGAAAGGAAGAAGAATGTCAGACAAAGTTGCATTGCATGCAAAACTTTATAATAACTATAGAAAACGTGAGAACAGTTTTGGGTCAAATGGCATACATATACATATAATGGCTGAAGTAGACAATTCAGGTTTCAGATTAGGGTTTCATTCAAGTGAGTTGTTCATCATGGCAACCCTACATTTGAGGTTTATAACCTTGCAGTCTGAGTTAAAAGGCAAAGCTTCTGGTCAGATGTGGTAAACATGAGTTGATATATGCAGGACATTACTCACTGATTATAAGCAGAAAGTGGTTAAATAAATAGGAAATATCTAAAATCATATAAGACAAGGATAATTTGAATAAATAATAGTGAAAACATCTGAGAACAAAATGAACGTGCACATTTAAGACTTTGATTTTTAAGTAAAATATTTCTAACCTTAAGATGTTGTTTTCTCTAACCAATGCATCTATACTGGAAGTGACAACAGCTTTCCATGATTCAAGGTCTGCAAATTCTCTTTCCTGGAAGGGATAATGCAAAGATGTTAGATAGTCAAGTGGTTATATGCAACTCTTCTTCACTAAGAATGGAAATAATGGTACCAGTGGTATAGAAGAAACAGAATTTTACAGTACCATTGCCTCTTTCCAACGCATAAGATCTTTTATTTCTGTTTTGCTTTTCTCCAAAAGTAGAGAAATTCTTGATAACTCTGAATTGATCTCTGGTATAACATCAGCTTCCCTTCGGTTCAATTCTTTGATGTAATCTTCCAAAACAGATAAGTTCAAATCAAGAGACCTTACTTTCTGCATCAAAATCTTCAAGACAGTGTCACTAGGTATTCTTCCAACATGCAGCTGTTTAATTTCAGTTAAAGGATCAGGAATCCTTTGAGTAGACACCGGACTCCTCAATGCAGTTTCACTGAGATTTTGAACATCCTCAGCAATTTCTGTTCCCAAAGCAGTAGTTTGAGCCTCGTCATTTCTTTTACCATCATGGGAACTCACATCTGCTTTTACACAAGGCCCTGTTGAATTAGAGTCTGTTGATTTCATGGCATGCTGTTCGGATGGATCAAACATATCTTCGAGCATCCTCTCAATTGCATCAACACCATATACCTCGACAACACTTAAAGTGCAGTAAAACTCTGAACCATAATGACTGAGTAGATTCAACTTCAAATACCGCAGCCATTTCGGTTCAGAAAGTGTAAAGGTTTGAATTTGCTTTATATTTGAAGCAACAAACTTTCCTAATTGGGTCCATGTGTCAGTTGGATAATTCAAACTACCATACAACTCGAATTCCTTGAAGTTTGATGAATGGTGTTCAAAATTAGCAATTTTGACAGCATCAACCAACGTCTCTTCAGCCAGTTCAATCACAACAAACTTTCCTTCCACAGTACAAGGATTTCTTAAATACTGATCATGATCTTGTCCCAAAATGTTGTTTGCTCCTTTTGCTTCTTTGTTATGTGCAACCACTTTTGCACCTTTCAGGTTAGAGGCATAATTGTACTCTGAACCATCAGATTCAAGACGATGAGTGATCTTAAATGTACCTGGAGGATCTCCCTCTTTTGCTCGCATTGTTATATTCCGGAATTCATCTAATTTGACATAAGTTGAAGGGATTTTCAGATTAGGTAGTTCCATTTGCTGCCCTATATTGTTCTCCTCTTGTTCGACTATGTCGCAACTAAGAGCAGTGTAACCCAAAACTTTCAGAATCACCTCATCAAGTCTACTTGTTTTGCAGAAGGAGTACTCATACTTGACAAACTTCTTATAAACAGTGGAGTTATTAAAATTCACTGTCTTATTCATCTCTAACAGCATTCGGTTCGTACAATTATCTTCTCTATCTGCATCATCACAAAGCTTTTCATGGCCAACACTAGGAGAACATGCGGTTTGGTTCTCAGGATGTGAGTTTCCTGAAGAAGAAGATACAACCATGTGAATGGAATATTAACCAACTTTGTGCCAATACTCAAGCAATAATGTAATTTTCATTGGCCTGGCCAAATTTTGTACTCAAGGAACCAAGAAAAGATCATGTAAATAACCAAAAAAAAAAGGCTATGCACTGCAGAAGCATGAATTTCCTTAAAAAAAGTATGGCAATAAAAGTTAAAATTGACTAAAAATTTGACCCCAAGGATGTAACTTTAGCTAATTAGCTCCATTATCTCACAGTTTGGTATCAATAAATACGCTCTTAAAGCAACAAATTAAACCTTCTTTTTAAAACTTCTCGTGTCAGGAGCAAAGCCGTGTCTCTATAATTAAGATTAAATTCTTCTTTTTTTAGGGGAAAATGTTCTAATTCCGTGCAATCATTTGGGTAAATACCGAAATGAAATTTTGAATAAATATCTGGAATAATGGATTTAAGCTAAATTAAAGACTAATAATAGTATTTAATAACTATACACAGAAAGGGGAAATACTTTGTGTTTGTTTTACCTCCATTTTCATGGCTGTGACCGAGTCGAAAGTAGAACAAGAAGAGCAGGCACCAAAGAGAGATGATAACAGACAAGGAGAGTTCGTAGACACTCTTTGCATTAATGAAACTGTTGTTGTTCTTGATGGCATCTCTGTTTGTTTTAGCAGCCTCGTTCCCGCCATTATTGCAGTCGTTTCGACATGTCACGTACACAATGGAATGCCCATTTCTTGGCTTCTTCATGTCTCATCCGTACAAGGAAACTGGGAATTTTCTACTTTTTCTTTGAGTGAGAGAAAATAAGGGAAAGAGGTGAGTTTTATTATTATTATTATTTACCTTTATTCCTCAGAAATTGGAGCAACGGTTGGGTTTGGCTTCTTGTGGAGAGAACAACAAAAGTGGAAAATACGAATTTTTCAAGGTGATGGGAAAGGGTCGACTATTTTGATAGAATACTAATATTGCGGAAATCAATTTTTTGCACTTCAAAAACAAAAAAACGTCATCGCCCTTCGCCCCTATCTTGTGCGTTCAATGGGGGCTTTTTACCTAGACATCAACCCAAAAATAAATTTCGGGTAAACTACACGTTTAATATTCTAACTACTAAATTTGTTTTATTTTGTTTATTCATCTATTTTTTAAATTATATCTAATGTTACATTTCGGTTTCATTTTAATCACCAACAGTAATGCTTACATATCACCATAAGGTAATATCATGTCATCATTGAAAAATTTTAAAATGCAACGGTAGAAGTTCTGTTAATTTTTAATAGCTGGTGACCAAAATGAAATCAAAACGTAATGTTAGGTATGATTATCGTAATGACTTTTCAGATCATAATGGATTATAAAACGAAGTCACTATCAATTACTTTTAAGGTGTGATTGGATCACCTATAATTTGGTAATTTTAATAAAAACATAATTTTACTAAAATATCAAAGTTTTAGGTTCATAGTCGATTACGTCTAGGGAATAATTAACACACTCACAATGTCTAATATTGGTACCTAGTCGATTACCTATTGTTTTAAAATTGGAAATTACGAGTTCAATATTTTATTTAATTTAGGCTTAATATAAAAAAATGCCCAAACTATATCGTTTTTTCCAAAGTGATGCCTAAACTTTTTTTTGGTAAATACAAGTGTCTAATGTTACAAATATTATCACTTTAGGTGCATTGACCATAATATGCGTTAAATTTCATTGTTAAGTGATATGTGTTGTGCTCATATAATTTGAAAATTATATGTTAAAAAAACTTTAAAATATTATTATATTTATAAAGAAAACCCTAAACTCTAACCTCTAAAATTATAAAAAAAAAACCTCAAATCCCTAAAAATCTCTAAAATCAGCCCTAAACCTTAACCTTACTATCACAATTATCGACCAAGAATGTCGTTATCTCCGCCACCCTTGGCATCTCTCTTGTCAGTCGTCATCTCCCTTGTCATCACGAGCATCGTCGGGTCACTTAAGTATCGTGATTTTTTCATTTGGAGTTCGACTTCTTCATTTTCTTTGTCGGTTGTTCATCGTGGTTTATGGGTTATAGGTCATCGTGTTTGGTTGTTTATTAGGTGGAGGTTCTGGTGGAGGCCCGGTCGCTAGTAACAGTATTAAACAGCTGTAACGGACGTGGATATAAAGATTGGAATTAGGTTTTTCAAAGTTTTGGGGATTTTTTAAGATTTTTTGAAAATTTTTGGTTTTTTTTTAATTTAATTTTTTATTTTAAATAAAATTTTAAAAATTAACTAAATGCGACATGTGTCACTTAGTAGAATATTTTAACAGTCGTTACGATCAGGGCACCTAAAGTGTGCACCTAAAGTGTAACATTTGTAATGTTAGGCACCTGGATTAATAAAAAAAAAATGTGCATGACTTTAGGAAATGCAATATAGTTTATGCACTTTTTTATTAAGCCTTTAATTTATAATCCATTATGTATGTAAATTTTAAAAGAGTGTTGATTTATTTTAAAATTAACAATAATCATCATCTAGCATAAACGAAGATTATATCATTAATCCTAATAAATGAATATTGCCTTGATAATTTTGAAATCATGATATGGGAACTTAAAAAGGATATTGATTTATTTCGAAAATTAATCATGATTACGCCCAGACAAAAGCAAATGATATACTATTATTCTCTAAGTAAATGAACATTGTCTTATTTTTCATTCGAAATCGGGGTATGCAATCAAACAACCGATTATTGAACTTAATTATGCTGAGTGAGTTAATTAAGACTTTATCTAACTAAAGTGTCAAATTATGAATTTTAAGGAAATTAAAATAACTAAACTTGAAACTCTAATATTAAACCCTAAAAAATTAATTATCAATCGAATAATTAAAATAACACCCGGAAAAAAACAGAAATGTTTTGAAATATTTTCGTGAAAACCTATTAAAAATCTAAATCTAAGAGGTTTAGTCTAAGGTCAAATAATCTAATCCAAGATTAAAATTAAAACAATAAATAAAATGTACAATCGAAACTAAATTACAAAGACGTGAACATGAGAATCAAATTATGGCCAAATTAAAATAAAGTACAAAAATCAAGAATAAATTTATATTATATTAAATATATTATATGTTATGTCATCCCCGTTACTTATTTTATAAAGAATAATCAATTTATTACTTCCTTCATGAACAATAAGAATTTTTTTTATTATTTTATAACTTAGTTTATGACTTTTCATAGTGAAAATAGGTAAGGAAATAATAACTTATAGTCGAGAAAATATTTGAGAAATAATAGTTAGGATAAACTATTTATTTACTCATTGTTTTATTCTCATGCTTTAATTTTAGTTATCAAAAAAATCATATAAAATAATACATTTTTGTTTTAATTATTCGTAGTTAAAAAATTAACAATAATATTAACATGATAATTTTTATTACTTTTTTAATTTCTACAATATTTTCTCTTTCATCATCACATTTCACCACAAGAAAATTTAGAAACCTTGTGAAATGACTAAATTAATAGTTTAAATGGTAAAATACATTGATCATCACTTAACTTTCTTTTCTCTCCTATTTTGGACACTAAACTTTTAAACTTTTCAATTTACTAACTTAACTTTCGGATTGTTCATGTTTTGATCAATCTAGATTATTTTATTTTTATTTTGGTATGACATGTAAATAATTTAAATATAAAATTAAACCCAATTTCTCATCGTCGTTGAATGCCACCGTTGTAGGTCGTAGATGGTGGTCGTTTGATCCTAAATATCATCAATCGCTTTGTCTTGAGCCCCTGAGTCCGAATCTAACCTCCATTTTGTTGGAATGTTCTTTGAAGTCTATGAATATAAGATCAAAATTGAGGAAACCAAAACGTTTTAGTTGAGATTCACAGATTTTGGGACATTTTCCGTTGAAACAACCATCAAATTCAAACTCAATGTCAAAACGAGTCTCTCAGTACAATTTTAGATTAAACGATTATCGATTCTGAAGGCAAACAGTGGTCCAAGTTGACAACAAGCGACGATGATTATTTTAAATATTTTTAAACTAAATAATAATAAAATATTATTTATTATTTATTTTAAATTATTTTTATATTTAACAATGTTTAAATTCCGCATCATAAATAATAATAATATAATAGTAGATAGTGACAAAAAAGTTCAATGTATAAAGTTCAGTTAGTAAATTGAAAAGTTTCAAAGTTGAGTGACCAAAATAAGAGAGAGAAGATAGTTGAGTGATGATTTGGAACCCCATAGACCGATACGGGTGGCCCGATCCGATCCGGGGCGTCACATTAGGGCCACTGGAGTGACCTACTGTAAAATTCCAGGAAAAATTAATTTTTTTGTTAAAACATGTAAATCATAAAAACAATTTTTAAATACAAGAGTAAAATTTTCTAATATTCAGAAATAAAACAAAATTCAGACTCGTATATAAAAAAATACAACCTATATGCCCCCTAATCACATGCACCGCACTCTGCAAGCAACGCCGGAGGAACTCCTTTACCAATGTCGATAGTTGCACTGGTTTAATCCTTTTAACCTGAAAATATGAGTAACAGAGTGAGCCTTGGAAAACTCAGTAATACATAACTACCAGATGATGCTGAAGAACATGCAGATAACAGATAAGCATATGTTTCCTTATTGATTCAGACATATATAGACTTTTAGGTTGAGCTGAGGTCGCACTGATATCCCAGGTAGTAACATATAGTAAGTTTTCAATTTATAGGGAAATATTTCGGATGACTGGGTTCAGGAGATCAGAATAGGTTGTCTAGTGTGTTCCCACAAAACTAGTGAAAATGTACAGATCATTGTTTTAAAACATTATCAGTTTAAAATGTATATTTAAAAACCATAGTAAAACCCTCCAATCGAATGCCATATGCAATTCCCCCGAACTGCATAACCTAAGGGAGCACCTTGGGGCGTGAGAGCCTACCCAAGGGTTGCCATAGGTCCATAAGGAATTACCATTCAGTGTTTAACCTATAAAAGGAATTACCAGCAATGACTGAACCTGCCAGAGATAAGAATTACCAGTCGGTGCAAAACCTATACAAGGAATTACCAGCAGCGACTGAACCTGCCATAGTCATTATATAGATCCTAGAGTGCCCTAAATAAAACATTTTCAGTCAGTAAATAGATATATCAGAAACCAGAGCAGAGATCAGAACAGAAATCAGAGAAAACATCTATATGATCAGGGAACACAATAGAGGTTCCAAATAGTATTCGGAGATACTAGATAATCTTATCGGGCAGAAAAACACGGATCTTCAGTATTCCGATAGAATGTCAGAAATTAAAATCATTATTGAAAGAGTTCATTAGCTGACGGGATCATCAATTATTCAGAATGTGATTTATCAGACTCATATAGTATTGGGACATTTTTCGGAGGCACAAAATAATCAAACAGGTATTCAAAATCATTTGCATCAGAGTTACTTGTGTTTTCAGATATGACCAGAGTGATTCCATTATTCAGGAAAACTAGAAGCATTTTGGGCATTAGATTCTTGGAGGATTCAAGTTATTTGAGCTGATAAGGGAAAAACGAAGATTCAGGGACATTTACAATTTGTGTCGACCTATTGAAATATCGAGTCAACCCGAACCGTACAAGTCCCATCAATGATACCTGTTGATCGGTCAAATCGTTGCACTTCCAGAGTATTCACGTTTTAATATAGACAATTCTTGTCAAATTGATCATCTTCAGAA